GCAGAACTGGCGCGCCTGCAACTCCAGCAGTCCTTTATTTCCTTCAGTTTTGACTCTTATAATACTTCCGAATTTTCACCACAAAAATGGAGCACTAACGCAGTTAGAATGATAGGGACCACCGGGCGCAACCCTGTGTCCTTTTCCTCTCACCAAAGCTGAGGCGTAAAGCGCATACGACCAGAGTGGCCGTATGGTAATCTTGCTAGGAGGACAGTCTAAACCGAACTTGCCCTTCTCAGGGGGGCTGCAGTGGTCACCCTTTCTCGGCCACTCTCGGTTGCTTTCGATCCTAGCCTAACCGATCATTGGGTGCCGAGTAAGTCATAGTATTCGCTGCGGACGGTTGGGCGTGTCAACTGTTTGGAGATGCGGCATTCCGATCAGTTACGTCAGAATTTTCATGTACTCATGATTGCCGAGGTGCCATGCTTGATGCAACCGGTTTTGTCATGATGAAAGTGTCTTTCTATTGAAAGGCAAGGTGGGCGTTTTTGTGCAAAGTGAAGAGGAGGACTGGAACACGCTAATACTATTGCTAAAGTGCACTTTCGTCAACACTTCTTCCAACCTTTTTCTTTCTTCTCAACGAGATAGCACCTGTCGCTTAGAACGTAACGATTATTGCCATTGAAGTTGTTCATGAAAAGAGCACTTGGAAAACTGGCTTTTGCATTGCAGAGGTGCATCGTCATTGAGACGTCTTCAAAGAAGGGGACAGAGAATACATTCTGCCCATTGGGTGGAATAACTTCCCTGTATAGCTGGTCCAGTCCGTAATATGGGAGGTTTTCCTTTTTCGCGGTGAGAGAGTGAGCGACGGGGCTCTGCCAAAGAGACGCCACCTCTAAAAGTCGCTCCACCCGTTTGGAGACGAGATGTGCGAGCGGAAATATATTAGCATAAGACTGGAGGCAGTCGTTTGGCACGTTCGCTTTGCCATTGAGGTGTCATAACAAATTGTTGGACAACCTCGACAAATTGGATAACTCGTCCGAGTCTCTGAACTACTGTATTATCATTACTGTATACGTACATAAAGCAGTTAACGTAGGTCTGGTGCTCCTACCTCTCAATCAGGGCACCTCCCAGTGATTTGTTAGGGAAATCCAATAGTATTACGGCTCGGGCGAGTTATCTGCATAACGCGTAGTATGACATATAATGAAAATCGGTAGCAATGAGGTCGCACTAAACGACAACCCGTAGCACACATGCCACGCGCGCGGTCCTAGGTTCAGATCCCAGGCTGACTTCCGCCAGGCCAACCAAGCCTTCTACCCCCGGGGACGGTAAATTGGTACCAGATTCGTCTGGGAGGATAAAACACTGACTTGTACATCGGCTGGCCCCGCAAGTCATTGTATAGGCCACATCGCATTCAATAAGCCACTACGATTCTGAATGGAAGTAGAATGCGTGCCGCATCCCACAAAGGGATTGATCAACGGCGAAGACTTTATCCTTTATCAGTATGAGGGACATCAGAGGACACTTCCCGTAAAGCCAGGGTTGATGTCTTCCGAGTAGAACTATCGTATTTAGAATTGCTCACCTCGCTGTTCCATCCCATTCAGCTTTCGCAGGTCATCTCCACTACATCCCATTCAGCTTTCGAAGGTCATCTCCACTACATTTATTCTAGTTTTGTCCAG